AGAGAAGAAATGATGATGGAATACCCCTTCAAAGGCTGGGAACCACGACGACTCAGAGGAGGAATAGCAATGCCTATACCAACAGGGAACAGATGGAGAGGGACCACGTGCGACTGGATTGGGTTTGAGGTTGTCCGAGACTTGTCATATGTATGGATAGAGCGGATTTGGAACCCGATAAGGGAAGAGGAAGGTTGGGATGATATAGCAGAAGGCAAGGTAGAGTCAGTTGAAACGATTGTCCTTTCCGAGGATGGATGACACCTGTTTTGCACCATGTTAGCAATGGGACATGACCCGATGTGGCTTCTAGGGGATGCAGAGGCCCGAACCCGAAAGGAAGGCAAACTGTTCGCCAACGAGGGATGAGACGAAGTTAGTAGCAGAGTTGTGATGGGAGGATGGAAGGAACTCAAGCCTCTAAGTCTACGGATAACGGCTTGGGTACCGGAATTCATAGCCGAGTGGTTTGGGGGGGTTGAGCACATCTTAGAAGTAGCCGACTCCATGAGAAAGGTGCATATAGAGTGTGCCTGGCTGACTGAGGAGTTTTATAGGCTCTCATTGAAATATGGACCCTTCTACGGAGATAAAGCCGAGGAAGTCATCATCGTCCTAAGAATAGGCAGGTATGACCGGCTAGAGGTAGAGGCGGAGTCTTGGGACGCCATAGTTAGCCGGGAGGCGGCGGCTGCACCCTCCTACGTAGACGACGTCTTTAAACTATTTGAGGTACTGTGGTTCGACTGAATGAGGCCAAGGGATCGAACACCGATAGAAGGCCTGAGTATGGAGGGTGCTTGTAAGGTAAGGTGTAAAATAAGTAAGGCAGGGTGTACATTAGGCCATAGATGGTGCATAAAGATCGAAACAAGGGGGAAGTGACAGAAACTGGAAAATGGGGGGGGGGGTAAGAATTGAACGTGTATGAGTTGGGGATAGCGGCAAGAACCAGTGTACGATAAGTAGGGAGGGTTGAGAGACTAAAACACGAAAGGTATGAAATCTCGGTGGGTGCAGCGATCGGACTAAGAAAGCAGGAAATGAGGCATTGCGAGATGACCCGGCGAATGACGTTCTGGGCGGATAGACCTCGCGGGATCTTGCCACCAAGAATATCAGAGGGCAGGGTCGAAATAAGCCTGCCGGCAAGAAATACGGTAGGCAATCCAGTAATGGACTGGGTGGGGGTAGAGTTGGTGGAAGATACGGTGTACCTAGTAGTGAAGCTGGAATGGCGGGCGAGAGGGGAGTTCGGGGGCGTAGATTTGAACCGCCTAGGGCATGTACATGCGACGGGATCCTTACACCTGTCAGAAGAGGGGTGGCGGACCTTTGGGATTGCTTTGGCTTCCGGGGATGACCCCGTGCGAATGTTCGAAGGGGCATGGCAAGTGACCTGGCGGGAGGGGTTTGGGTTTGCAGATCCGGAACGAGATGATGTGATGGCTGAGGTAAAAGTCGCTGCGGCAGGGGTTTTCGAGCTCCCAAATGAGGTCATACGGATGAGTCTACCACCCTTCCTGCTAAGACAAATGGGAGGCATAGAACGAGTGGAGTAGGCGGTGACTGCCGTAACTAGGCTAAATTTCGATGAAGCATTAATGTATCAAGAATACTATCGGACCTTCCTAGAGATGGGGCCTTTCGGGGACGAACAAGGGCGCGAGGTGCTTTGCATTCTACGAGCAGCAGTAAGTACTAGGCCAAGAGTCCCACAAATAAGCGATGAGACCATGTGGAGAGTCATCCGATGAGAGGTAGGTCGGGGCGCAACCTACATAGACGATCTCTACCGGCTGTACGAACAGCAAGAGGAGGCTACCGCTCCCGGGGGTATAGAGGGATAGTAAGGACTAGAAAGGGAAATGAAAACACGAAGGGCAAGGGAGGCAGTAGGCGGGCGGATTCTAAAGATTGGTTGTAACCCTTTCTATGTGGACTATGCAGGAAATCACCAAGGTAACAATGGCAGCAAGACGTGAGCGAGTGGAACGCCAGCCCCGTGTGCGAATGAAACGCCAACCCCGGTACCTCGGACCGCCCTGGAACCACAGTGGGCGATGGGAAGTATCCCTCCCGTCGAGTTCTACCTATCGGGGGTTCGACGTAGAATGGCGGGCCGTGACTTTGGGAAGGGACGCCGCCTTCATGTTGGTAGAATGTCGGTGGACAGGGATGAGACTCAACCGAGAACCCGGAGACGGTCTGTTGTCCAATCTGGAGGTTACCGGGACCATATACCTACCTGAGATCGGCTGACATTCGTTGGGGGTAGAGATATTACAAGGTCACGAGCTGGCACCGGTCTTTCAAAGGGCCGCCCGGACGTTGACCCGGATAGGACATTCGGTCAGGGGAAGAAGGAACGTGGGCTTGCTAACCCGAGTGGAGATGGGAGGTTGGAGGGAGTTAACCGACCACACCGCTGAGATGCCGAGTGCCCCGTTTTATGATAGACCTCGTCTTCGGAAGCCTCGCAAGGGCGCGGGAGCTGGCAGACTCAGCGATAGTATGGGCAGACCACTTTCCCTCCCCTACCATTGGGATGTTCTACGATGTCGCTGTGGAGCATAGGCCGTTCTGGGGAAACAGGGCCCACGAATTACTAGAAGTCATCCACATCCTGATGTTTTGTGCGCCCCGGCTAGACTGGACAGGATGCGAACGCATAATCCAAAGGGAAATCGAGATAGGGGAGAATTATCTAACGAGGGTGGCTCAACTATTCGAGGAGCCTACCGAGCCAGAAGAGCCGCAAGGGCGAGAGCGGGATTAGCATCCGCAGGCGGGTCAATAGGGCAGATCGAGTATAGTTCGCTGCGTATGGAAGTTCGCCGATGGGAATAGGAAAGGGGCTTCGGACCTGGATGGCTAAAACCCACTAGAAAAACAAAGAAGTGGGGGGGCAGACTCCTAATGATTGGTCATAACCCTGAAGGTCAAAAACGGGAAACGCTGCTCGGGAAGGTCTCCCCTAGCAGGATGCCTAACCCGGACTCCCTCGCGTCTGCCGACGGGACAAGGGCACGACAAACGAGCTTGTGATAAAGGAAACCCAGTCACGGTCATAGCTCGGCTGGGCGGCAGGGCCAGTCATGGCTCCTCCTTAAGGAAGGGCAATCAGGAAAGGGGGATAGGAAAGGAGACTATAAAGATAAACCAACAGAGTTGGGAGTCTAGGGAACCTAAAAACCTCGCGTTGCGTGTGTCCTGGGAATTCTTTGGCTTATGCAGAACTAGGCAAAATGGCAACGGAAGAGGAGACAGATAACCGTAAGAGTGAAGGAAGGACAGCGAATCGATAAATCCGGATGGTACCGAAGGGAACCGGAAGGAAATCTCCACAGGGAAAAGCTCGGGAAAAGTCGGGGGAAGCAGGCAAGGGACCCAGGGGACCAAGGAAGGCAGAAATAAGGATATGACAAGCCCCCGAAACTCGGAAGGAGCCATGCCTAAGAAAGTAAGGGTCACGGACACAAGGCGCAAACTAGCCGAGATAGACAAGAGGACCGCGAAATACAAGGCAAGACTGATTGAGGAAATTATGACTGGGAACGAAGAAGGTCCTCTGCAGGAGGAACCCCGGGACGAACGGAAAGCCAGCCAAGGTGGGACTGGACAAGGGGATAGGTAGTGACCGTGGGGGAACGCCGAGCAAGAGAAGGAAAGAGAGAGAAAACTCTCCGGGGATGGAAGCAGAAAAGACTACGACTCCGCCAGCCATGGACAGTAGGGTTAGCCGCCTGCCGATCACGCCAGCAGTAGCGCGAGGATGCGAAGGACTTTGGAGCCTTAGGGAAAGAGTGTTGGGATGGTTTGACCCGGAAGGAATTATGAAAACCAGGGAGGGACAGAAGGCCGGCAAGGAAAGTCCGGATAACAGTGTGGCAGGCGAGGCCAGCAGCTCCGAGGGCGGCCTTAAGAAGATAGTGTCGTCCCTCGCGTGAGCACTAAACAAAAATCAAGGCTATCTGGCAGACGCCAGGAAAAAGCTGACTTTCGATGGAGCAAATACCACGGAGTTCCTGATCGACTACGAGAACCTAGCTGCGTTACTAAAGTGGACCGAGGAGGAAAAAATGGACCATCTAGGACAGCATGTGTCGTTAAGCCTAGGACGGGACATAATGGCTATTGTAGCCGCAAGCCAGTCTTGGAAGGAGACCCGGGATGTGATGATGAGGAAGTACCTAGCAATAGAGAAAATGGCAACGGAGGCCGACCTAGCGGCAGTTCAGAGGAATAACTTCGCAACGTACAATAATTTCCTACGGGAATTTACTGTAGTAGCACTAAGGATCCCCGAGGTCACGGACCGGATAATGAGCAAATATTTCCTCAGGCAGTTCTCCGAGTTCGACAAAGACAAGATCTTGTCAGCTTACCAACAGACGAGCAAGTTCGTAAACACGCGGGATGTTGATTTTAGCACGGTAACGGATCTGGCTGAGAAAACGGTAGTAACGGAGACGTTGGCCTTGCTCAAGGAACAAGATATCATAGATCTGACCGGTAGGACAGGGGACAAGGTAAAGAAGGGGATTGAAAGTCTACATGAACGGGTGCACGGGGTCGACAATAAGATTGAAAGGATGGAAGGTGCGCTACTGGTTATGCAAGTGCAAGTATCCCGACCTTCTCTCCCTCCCCAGGAAACTGTGGTCCCGCCAGGTGTAGCAAACCGGGGATTTGGACGGAGAGATCCTGCTAACGAGCAATGCAAGTACTGCACCACGATATGACATTATGTGTGCGCATGCCCAAAGCTCAACCATGATATTTTGAAAAGAAGGTGTACCAGATCATTAAAGGGGGAGATATTTGGACCACAAGGGGAACGGGTGAACTGGAACTCGCCAGGAGGGATGCGGGGAGCCATTATCATGCTCAACGGGCTAGAAATAACAACCGTAGAAGCCGAACCGGTGGGCAAGATCATCTGGGATCAACTCCGGGGGTGCGGGTCGCAGACCAACTTTATTTTGGAAAGCGACTGGCGTGATAGGGTGAACGCAACCACTCAACTGGGAACGACCGGGAGAAGGATTAACCGTGACACCATTATGGAGAAGGTCGCCGGAAGCTCCGAACCCCAGGCGGAGCCAGAGGCCGAGGAACCAGAGAAAGTCTATGGGAAGCCTAGGGAAGAGGAGCCTGCGGACAAGGTTACCGCCGCTAAGAAGAAGTTTAGGTATCAAATCCCGATCTTAACCTTGCATGAGCTCGACGACACCATTAGCAAGTTACTAGGAATCATGGTTTCGGTGTCTTTTCAGACCATGCTGCAAGCTAGCCCTAGGGTGCTCAAAGGGCTCAGACAACTGTTGACTCGGAGGCGAGTAGAAATCGGCGACAACACCGAATTACCAGAAGGGGAGAGGGAGGAGGAAGCTCCGCAAGAAGTGGCTAACCTTCAGAGGAGTCACGAGGACTTGGAGGATCTCGAAAAGGCCTTTGCAGATATTCGTTTGAGCTTGCCCGACCGAGAGGGCGGCGAAGTCATGAGATCGCCACCCGGGACGAAGCTTAGCTTTCATGCGCTGCCCGTAAGGAAACTGAAAATTCAGATCGGGAGTCATCATACCGACTCATTAGTAGACGGGGGAGCATAAATCACTCTCATGAGGAGCGATTTCGCAACGATCGCGGGATGTACGGTGAACAAGGAAGTAATAGGGAGCATCTCGCGGGGAAATCGCGTTCGCTAGGTACGTCACGAAGTGTGCTATGAAGGCAGGGGTCAGGGAATCAATGTGGTCGTTTCAGCGGATGAGCGTAATGGAGGAAATGGATCACGACATAATCCTCGGGAGACCGTGGTGCGCGAACGTAGAGATGATAGGCATGCACTTGCACAATGGCTCATACATGGTAGACATAGAGGACCCTGTGACCGGCCGGGGAGAGCTCCTCCGACTCCTTGGAACGGGAGGAGACCCCCCGAAGGGGAAATTGGCAACATGGTCGCCGTCGTTCGAGGATAGCACGCGGAAAGGGGCTTTCGCACGGATGGAGGGTATGAGAGAAAGGGTAGAAATCATGATTGAGGAAGCATTCAACAAGAAGGAGTGAATCAAAATGGGCCTGCCCCAGAAGAAGAAGAGGCAAGAGGACGACGTCCGAGATGTTATTGTAGCGGAAAAAGAGTCAGAGGTGGAACTTGGTGCTAGCCTGCCCAAACGGAGAGAAGTACGCATAGACGTGCCGGAAATGGCACTCGAGATCCCCGATCTATTGCAACTCATCAAGGCCCTCAGATGCCACAAGGTAGGAGTGGATTCGACAGCCTTGGCCAAGTTCGAAAGGGAGGTGCAAAAGGGATATTGCCTGAATGGGAAACTAGTTAGTATTCAACCACGAGTCGTAGAGGCGACGGGGGCAATTCCGACTGTTCATTTTTTAGGAGAAAGATCCCGGAAGGAAGTGTTCGAAAGTACAAGCCGGTAGGGAAGAAAGCAAAACCGGTCTCGATCCTGCTAGAGACGTCAAAGGAAGAGGTTATGGAGAAGGAGGAAGAGGTCCTTCGAGTGATCCGAGAAAGAAGGGCGACGGAGGGACATCAGATACCAGATGAGGTAGCAGACACAATGAAGATAGGGATAGACGGGTTCTTAACGGAAGAAGAAACCCGCCTGATCAAAAGGACCTGCCAGGAGTTTCACCTGGCATTTGCCTTAAGTGATCATCAGAAGGGACGACTGGATGCGAAGTTGATCCCCCCGGTCAGAATCCACACGGTAGAACATGAGTGCTGGAATGACAAGGGGCGATCCTATGAATTTGGGATAGCACGAGAAGTAACAGACCTCCTCCGAGCAAAGATGGACTCCTTCGTTGCAGAGCCTACGACATCACCATACGCAAATCGGTGGTTCGTCTTTCGGAAGCCTAACAAGACACTAAGGTGGATTCAGGACCTGCAGAAGTTGAATGCGGTAACCATCCGGGATGCTGACTCGCTACCTCAGGCTGACTTATTAGCAGAATCGCACGCCGGTCAAAGCATTTACTCCCTGATAGATCTGTACTCAGGGTACGACCAGCTTCCATTGGATGTTAGGGACAGGTCATACATCGCTATGCACACCCCCGTAGGCCAGCTACAGATGCAAGGGACACCTATGGGATTCACAAACGCAGTGACCGAAGCGCAACGCAGGATGCTCGCCGTGGCCGGGAACATGTTCCCAGAAAAATGTGAACCTTACATCGATGACAATCCGATCAAAGGCGCGCAGGAGAAGGACGAGACGGAAGTCCAACCAGGGATCCGACGTTTTGTGTGGGACCACCTGCAGGACATCAAGGACTCACTCCGACGGTTCCTAGTATTCAACATTATGGCTAGTGGACCGAAGAGTATTATAGCAGTACCGGAAGTAACTATACTAGGATTTCGTTGCGGTGCTTACGGCAGGAAGCCGGATCCGACAAAAACCGACAAGATATCACAATGGCCGACACTGTTGCGCACAACAACGGAGGTAAGGGTATTCCTAGGCGTAGTCGGCTTTTGGAGGATCTTCATTAAGAACTTTGCCAAAATTGCTGAGCCTATCCGGACTATGATCAAGGAAGAAGGAACCATGGATTGGATGGAGGAGCGAGAAGAAGTTGTCCAAAGGCTCAAGGACATATTGACATCTGAGAGAGTCGCCCTGTCCGCGCCTTGTTTTAATGACGAAGTGGGACGACCCTTCATCCTAGAGACGGATGGAGGACCTTTGGTCGTAGGAGGTGTGTTGATTCAAAGGGATGAGGGAGGAAAAGAGAGGCCGATTAGGTTCGAAAGTAGAACCCTGAACTCCGTAGAACGGCGGTACTCGCAATTCAAGAAGGAAGTCCTAGTCGTCCATCATTGCCTTAAGACCTTCCAGGCCTACCTATTCGGGAGGCGGTTCATCTTAAGGATCGATCCGACGAATGTCGCAGGGGCTCTAAAGAATTACAGGCCTATAGATCCGACGGTAGGGAGATGGGTAGGATTCATCTGGCAGTTCGATTACAAGATCGAACGGATTGCTGGAATCCACAACAAGGCAGATGGGCTGAGTCGGGTTTGCATCACTCCCGAAGGGATGGGGGATGCAGAGCCCATAGACGCCTTCCTCGAATACGAAGGATGGACTCTCGCGGTGGATAACGAAATGATGAGCAAGGGATGCACATCGGGAGAACTATTGATCCGGACTTTGGAGAAGGGGGCACCTGCCGTAGTAGCAGAACTGGCAGAAGGACCAGTTACCACTCGAGGACGCAGAGAAGAAAATGACTCATGGGGAGCGATAGTAAAACCGAAAGAGGAGCTAATGACAATGACGGTTGAGGGAGGCCGGGAGACAGTGATGAGCTTAGTGGAATCTTGGGAAAGGAAAGAGTTGCAATGGGTGGTAAATCAGATGCAGGAAAGAAAGGATGGGGGCAAGGAAGAAGAGGAGTTTTTCTATGTCCAATCATACAAAGGACTCTTTCAGGAGATCGGGTTGTTGTTGGTAGGAAACAAACAACCTACGGAAGTCAATATTAAAGCAAGAGAAGAAGCCGAAAGGTACGTCCTAAGGGGGGGCCATTTATTCCGAAGGGAGGAAGGTGCTATGCCCAGAACGGTTGTGTGCGGAAGATCTAGGCAAGTAGACGTTATCCAGACAATGCACGGCGGGTTAGCTGGAGGTCACCGGTCGTCTAAAGGAACACTTGCAAAGATAACGCCGCTCTATTATTGGCCAGGCATGGCAGGCATGGTCGCTATATACTGCCAGACTTGCCTTATTTGCCAAGAACGAAGCTCGGTATGAGTCTTGGAGCCGCTTAGACCAACGTGGGTGCTAGGGCCGGGACATCTGGTCCACCTCGACCTTGCGGTCATGCCTGTATCAACGGATGGGTACAGGTATATCCTGGATGCGCGAGACAACTTGAGTGGGTTCGTGGAGGCAGTCGCCCTCAGGAAAAAGACAGGGAGGAATGTGGCAGACTCGATAGAAGACTTCTACTTAAGGCATCCGTTCGTCAGGAGGTTTATAGCAGACAATGGGATAAAATTTGTGAACCAAGAAGTATTGGGGATGCTTAAGAGACTCTGCGTACCGATCAAACTCATCGAGCCGTATCACCCTGAGGCCAATGCACCTGTGAAAAGGGGGCACCGAACCTTGAAGAACACGATTGCAAAGCTCGCAGCAGACCATCTGGGGAACTGGCCTAGGTATCTTAAACAGGCTGTCTTTGCAGAGAATATGACTCCTAAAAGGACAACAGGATGTATCCCGGCAGAGCTTTGGTACGGAAGAGAGATCGACTTTCTTGTGGAAGCCTTGGTACCTACCTGGAATAGGTTAGATGATGATCCGCAAATGACCACTGAAGAGTTAATCGAGGCAAGATGTCAACAAATCCTTAAAAATGAGGAGGTCATGGAGGACATCGCCAACCGGGTGCTGGACAGCAGAATGAGGGACAAAGCAAGGTGAGACCAGGTTAAGAATGTAAGAAAGGAGCCACTTCAGATGGGGGAGATGGTATTGCTAAGGAACTCGACACTAGAAAGTACTTGGTCGGGACAGTTGGGAAGGAGGTTCAAAGGCCCCTACCGGGTCGCCAAGCGGGTGGGGCTGAGCACCTTCGAACTGGAAGATTTGGATGAAACTGGATTGAAAGGGCCCTTCCCGGGGCAACGACTGGTCAGGTTTCTAAGTCGGGACCCAGTGGAACAATGACTTCAGGAGGCCGAAGATAAGGAAACAGAGCAACCACAAGCTAAAGACTAACCACAACCTTGCCTACACTAAGGATACTGGGTGCATTTTGGGAATGTCTCACGGCCTAAGGGGGGGGGGAGGCGCGAGTGTATGAGGGACATTGCGGGTGTTGTTTTGTTATACAGGGCTTAGGAGTAAAACAAGAAAAGATAAAAATGGAATTCGGTGACGAGAACGACAGCGGGATAATCAACAGGCCTACCGGAAGGGAAGAAGCTGGACCAATCCAAGGGAGGAGGACAACGAAGAGAAAATTGTACATTGGGCTCATGGGCGGGCTAGTGGTAGGCAGGGGTGGAAGAAAATGTTTGTGTAGGAAACCCTCACCCCTCTGCAAGGGAGAAGGCATAGAAATATCATCTGACAGTGAGGGCGAAAAGAGAAGGGCAAATGTGGAAGAAGGAGGTAACACAGAAATGAGAGATAAGGCTCGGGTCTCTAATGATGAAGGGGCCGACAGGGGCGAACGACGTGAGACTTGGCATAGGGAAAGCGAGGGGAGACAAGGTATGCGCGACGAACGTGAGGAGTACGAGGAGAAAAGGGAAACCCCGCTTGAAGGACGAAGCGGTCACGACAGTTGCGAGGGGTATGAGACAGGGACAGAGATCCCGTTTACCTACAATCCAAAGAACCTTGCTGGTGGGTATAGCCCCATATAGACTAAAGACGAGGGGGGCGAGGAGGAGGATGTGCGAGAAGTCATAGAAATCAGCAGCGGGGATGAGAGGGATGAGATCTCAAGGCCTAGGGAAAAGGGGCGGCCCCCGATGCACCAACCGGGCGATGGGGCTTTCAGATGGGAGGACGAGTTCGGGCCAACGCCCAGTCATTGGTTTCAGCAATGGACCAATGTAATCAAGCACGAATGAATTATTAAGACTCGGGAACTCGCAAGGGCAGGGGTGGAAGCCACACCACTGGATTTTTTTAACGAGGCTAAGTTGCATAAAATTGTAAGGATGAAAAGAGAGATCGAGACCTACGGCCTGGGGGTTAGGAAGCCTGCCGAAGAACGGGGTGGACAAGGAACTGGGCGAGACAAGGCGCAAGGCAGTAATAGGAACTAGGTATTGACTTAGCATTGAAAAGGATCGCTGTTTTTCCGTATGCAGAGATATGAGAATGACGAGAACGTGTATAGTGTGGGCAAACTTGCAAAGGATGAGTGATGGAAGGGTCAGCTAAGGCTGTGTCGTGATAAGATTAGAAGATAGCATATTGAGGCTACTTTTAGATGAGTTACCTTTGAAAGATGGTACGCAAGACAAAGACATGGGATTTGGGACGAGACCAATTGGGAGAGGGTGTATTGAGAATTCTGGATGAAACAAGGATTATGCTTTTGAGAGGGGAAAACCTTGAGTACGGATTGACGAGCGAACCATGGCATTGAATGATTGGTCAAGTACAAGAGAGGTTAGGGAACCTATGGGTTAAGGGGCGTGAAGAACACTCCTTCCCTAGAAGCCTAATCCAACTGAGTCATGAATTAGTATGAGAATGATCAAGATCTGAGTTGTCGGAACGAGTGAAAAAAAAAAGAGGGGCGCCTTTGTCTTTTGTTGTGGATGAATGGTCGGGTGGGCTAGTGCTGCTTGGGGTCGCGAGCCCCAACTCGAGTGTTAGACGCTAAGTCGGATGTACGCATGAATGGTACATTACTGTGAGAAATGGAATGGATGGTACATTACTGTGAGAAATGGAATGGATGATACATTACTGTGAGAAATGAAATGGATGGTACATTACTGTCAGAAATGAAAAAAAGAGAACAGCACGCAAAAGATGAGATGACCACTTTCTAACCTCCAAGACAGAAATGGGATCCGTAACCTCGAGACCCACCCCCTCGGGCACTAATATTGAGAATGAAAAGGAATGACCCTAACCAGGCTGTTCGACTTGAGAATGGAAAGGAATGACCCTAACCAGGCTGTTCGACTTGAGAATGGAAAGGAATGGCCCTAACCAGGCTGTNGTTCGACTTGAGAATGGAAAGGAATGGCCCTAACCAGGCTGTTCGACTTGAGAATGGAAATGAATGACCCTAACCAGGCTGTTCGACTTGAGAATAAAAAAGAACGACCCTAACCAGGTTTGTTTGGAATGGGCCCTGACATAGGCACTGGGGTCCCCTGCATATTTGATTAAGAAAGGTTGATTGAGGATGAGCTGAAATGAGCAATAAGAGATGGAAAAGGCCGGTGTGTCGGTCATTGAAATAGCCGATGGGATGAGAGAGATGGAAAAGGCCGGTGGGTCGGCTATTGAAATAGCCAATGGGATGAATGAGACAGATGGAAAAGGCCGGTGGGTCGATCATTGAAATAACCAATGAGATGAGAGAGATGGAAAAGGTCGGTGGGTCGGTCATTGAAATAGCCAATGGGATGAATGAAAAAGATGAAAAATGTCGGTGGGTCGGTCATTGAAATAGCAAAAGGATGGATGAGAGAGGTGGAAAAGGCCGGTGGGTTGGTCGTTGAAATAGCCAATGAATTGAATGGAGGAAATGGAAAAGGCCGGTGGGTCGACCACTGAAAATTGCCAAAGGGGCGGGAGAAAGATGTGAATAAAAGAGGCGGAACCTTAAAGCCAAGAGGGGCAGGGACCGTTGGGATGGTCACAGAGATTGGGTGTTGAGGAATGAGAAAATTGAGGATTGAGTGAGTGGAAGGGTCAGTCTTAAGAAATGGCTATTGAGAGAATGACCGTCAGACCGGCCATGGGGGTGACCTTGTTGATAAGAGGGTGTCAGACCAGCCATGAGAATCAGCCTTGGAAATAGCATTGGATTGAATGATTGAGGACTGAATATTGCATTGCATAGGCAGAGGACCCTAGACAACTTGAAATGGACTTGGAAATAACCTTGAAATGAATTTTCTCTTTTTCTAGTCTTTGGCCTCAGCAGGAGGGGGGATACCGGTGCTCGCACCGCGACCCCAAGACCTCTATCCCTGTAAGGGAAAAAGTCTCAGCGCGACCTGTTCCTCTTGTAAGAGGATGAGGGTTAAAGGACCAAGACACCTACCGCTTGGATCGGTGCAGGACGTCCGGAACTGACCTCGACAAGGAGCTCTAGTCGGGAAGTTCAAATTGCGCCTCGTCTTGCACGCCTAAACGTCAAAGGGTGAGGGAACCAAATGGACGAGAAAGCCATTCTTTTTTTTCTAGTCTCTTTTGTTCTCCCCAACCACACGCCATGTCGTTGAGGGGCGGCATGGCCGCTTGGAATGGACCACGGCGGCTCGCGTTAAGTTGAGCAGCACTGTCCAGAGGGAGGAGTTGGGCGTGGTACCGGTTGGAAGCCACAACCACCACGGGGCATTGACACCGCCCCGCCGGAGCATTACAACCGCTTCAGGACTAATTGCGAGGTCTTCGTAACTGCACTCGTGGACTAATTGAGAGTCTCAACTCTCTTGAAAGGAAGAGGCCGGATCCAATAAAATACCACTCGGGAGGAACGATTCGCGAGGAAAGTCCTTACGGCAAGACGGGGTCCGGGGAGACTTGGACTGGACCTGCCTTCCAGATGTGAGGAGGTACCTCAGTAATGACGCCCGTCTCGTAAGCAGCAAAAGGTCGGACGGAGTAAGGGGATGAGGTGAGTTATCAGCAGGGGGAGGACTGATCACCCTTTCTTTTTGGGGCTGATGGGCCGGCATCCGCCTACTCGTTGGTGGGCCAAAGGTTGCGTACCTTCGAGTGAGAACTAGTCGTGCGATGGGGACATCACATTTTGAGTGGGGGGAAGGTGTGCCATCTACCGATGAAAAAACATAAAAAAAAGAAGGTCACCATGAGCGTAAGAATGCATGAGTAATTGACTTTGCGCAAGCCTGAGAAAAGGTCTGACAAGATGTCCAGAAGAAAAGAATAGATGAGTAATTGACTTTGCGCAGGCTTGAAAAAAAACCTGGCAAGATGTCCAGAAGAGAAGAATGGATGAGTAATTGACTTTCCGCAGGCTTGAGAAAAGGCCTGGCAAGATGTCCAGAAGAGAAACGGGTGAGAAATTGACATTGCATGAGCTTGAGAAAAGGCGTGGCAAGCGACTTGTGTGATTGATTTGGCATAAGCTTGAAAATAGGCCGAATAAGACGTCTGAAAAATAAAACACTCGTATGATGGACTATGTATGGATCTGAGAGAAAGACTGGCAGGCTGAAAAACAGATGAGTATTTGGAAACAGGTCTGACAAGGTGTTTGAAAGAGAGATGCACAAGGGATGAACTGGACAGCATGCATGAAAAAGTTAAAAATAAGCAAGGAACAAGAAAGGACAAAGAGTGATATGAATGCAAAATTGGCAGGACCTAAGGAGAGTCGGGCGAAAGGACCCGGGGGAGATGCATGTGAATTTGGCAAGGCCTGAGCGTAGGGGAACGGTAAAGGGAAAACATGGATTGCACGGGCCGAAAAGTAGATTATTTTTTTATAAGAATAATGAATGAGGCGAGACCAAAATGATTTCTACTCGAGAATGCTTCCTCGATGAAATGGGAAGACAAATTTGAGATTACGAAGCACTTAAGGGGAGTCGTGCCTGGGCTCACCGATTCGAAGTGGGTATCACCACAGCAAAGGCGGTGGTTGTACTAAACGAACATCTCCCTTCCGGAGCAAATGCCTGACATTGATTCGCATCCAAAAACTTGCCTACAATTTGTTATCAACAAAGCCAAGGCATAAAATGAGAAAACCAATT